TAGTCCAATAGAAAAATATTTCATGGACTCAGAGAGTGGTTTCGGCTGGAAGGGACCTTAAAGCTCATCCAGTTCCAACCCCCTGCCACGGGCAGGGACACCTTCCACTAGAGCAGGTTGCTCCAAGCCCCTGTGTCCAACCTGGCCCTGAACACTGCCAGGGATGGGGCAGCCACAGCTTCTCTGGGCACCCTGTGCCAGCACCTCAGCACCCTCGCAGGGAAGAACTTCTGCCCCAGAGCTCATCTCAATCTTCCCTCTGTCAGGTTAAAGCCATTCCCCTTGTCCTGTCCCAACAGGCCCTTATTCAAAGCCCCTCTTCAGATCTCGGCCTTCAAATTTGCAACAGTGTCTGAGAGCAATTTTTCAAAACTATAGGCTTTTTTCTGGGTGCAAACAGGTTAGTGTGGATAAGGGGAGATACTTGAGAAATTTCTCTGTGCCATGAAAGAGTTCCCTAGTGGTGCTGAATTCTGTTGGAAGGACCGAAGTTATTTTTGCATTGTATTGCAAATATAAATTGTACCTTCTCTTAGGCATTTTCAAAAGTTTTGATTAAGTTTTACCTTACTAGGAGCCTTAAATACGTATTATTTTATTAATAGAGTGCAAAAAAATATCTCTGGAAAGCACTATCTTTTCCATTTTCTGCTTGGATTGATTTTGAACAGAGAAATTGTAAGCAGGGTTGTTCATGTGAATAGAATTACAAACAAGCCATGAAGTACATATGCTAAAATACGTTAGAGACACAAGGACTGTGCTTAGCAAAGGTGAGTTTCACAGGAAAGCGTAAGTCATTTGGAAGTGCTTGCTCAGGCTGTTAAAAGCTCTGCCAGTTGTATGCACTTGGGAGGTGCTGGCACGTCCATGTCTGGACAGGTGGTGACTTTCTGTCTGGAGCTGTCACAGATAACCAGGGATCGGATGTGAAGTTACCATCAGCCAGGGTCTCTGGGAATAACAGTTTATTAGCAGTAGCTTTTTATAAGGTTTGGACAGAAATAACCACTTTTTATCAATTTGCACATACCACTGTGTCCTGGGTTCAGCTACAGCAGTCATTTTTTCTCCTTCGTAGTAGCTGGTGCAGTGCTGTGGTTTTGACTTTCAGTCTGGGAACAACGCTGGTAACACCGATGTTTTTAGTTGTTGCTCAGTAATGTTTACTCTGAGCAAGGACTTTCTCAGTCTCATGCTCTGCCAGGGAGGAGGGGAAGCCGGGAGGAAGCAGACAGGACACCTGACCCAAACTGGCCAAAGGGGTATTCCATACCACAGCACGTCATGCCCAGTATATAAACTGGGGGGAGTTACCCGGAAGGCCCAGATCGCTGCTCGGGTCGGGCTTGGTATCGGTCCGTGGGTGGTGAGCGGTTGTGTCCTCTCCCCTTGTTATTTCTCTTATCATTATTATTGGTAGCAGTAGTGGTTTGTATTATACCTTACTTACTGGAGTGCTGTTATCCCAACCTGTGGGAGTTACATTCCTCTGATTCTCCTCCCCATCCCTCCGCGGCAGGGAGAGTGAGCGAGCGGCTGGGTGGTTCCAAGTTGACGGCTGGTCTTAAACCATGACACAGTGCACATCCCAAGTGCTTCCATGGCAGTTACGGCTAATCTGGTCTAGGGAAGGTTCGCATAATCCAACGCTGGACCGGACAGCAAAGAGAAGGTGGTTTCTGCCTTGAATCCTGCAGGGTTGGTGGGTGCAGGAAGGCATGTGATGAGGGTTCCATCACCTCCTTCCACCTCTGGAAGCGTCTGGGAGAACCACAGACATTTGAGGGTGGCTCTGTGGGCTATGCCTGGATCTTGTTTATGTTTTCCCTCTCCTTCTCCATTCCCAGGATCACCCTGGACCGTGCCCAGCAGACAGTGGGTTTTACTTTCAGAGAATTCTATGTGAAATAATCCAGTAAATCTTGTTCTCACAAGTAATTTTATAGCACTTGAAAAAACATGTCTTGTGTGCAAAAAGCACCCCTTGGGGCCACATGAGAGATGAATAGAGAGAACTATCTTGGCTTCAATTAAATAAAAAAGAATGAAAGCCACTTCTGTGGTTTCACCCATGCATATTTGTCTTGATTTAGAGCCAACACTACATTTGGTGTTTAAGGCACTTGTGGCTTTCCAAGTTCCTCTTCTTTCCAACTACTTACCAGTTTTATTTTCTTCTCTGTGCACATGTAGTCTTGGCATCTATAAATGTGCAGGTTGGGTGTGGGCAGTAGGTGAGCAGTGATGTATTATCAGCAGTAACCTATATATGCAGTGTGCAAGATGATACAAGATGATACAAAATACCATGTGTTTAGATGTTTTGTTTTGTGGGGGAGTTTTTTGCTTGGTTGGTTTTTGTTTTGGTTTTTTGTTTTGTTTTTTTTTTTTTCCTCGTTTTTGTTTTTTTATTTGGGTTTTGTTTTTGTTTTGTTTTTTTTTATTAGTATCAGGCCTTGTTTAATGGGAAGTAGCATAAGGCTTTGCTAAGTATTCTGCAGATGCCTCTGACCACAAGTCCTTGAACATTTGGCACCAAGTTCAGAGCTTGTTTTGGGCAAGATGGATGCATTTGTTGAGTACATACTTTTGTAGGGTCTCGTGCCTTGATTGTTTGATAAGTTTATGCAATAGAAGACAAAAACTTCTATTGAATTCATAAAATATGCATCAAAGTGCTCTACTTTTCAGTAGTGTAAGCAGGTTGTACAAGCTTTTAGCTTAGAGATAAAGCAGGTGTCTGGTTGTGCCATGCACTTGAAAGCAAGCAAGCGAGCACAAGCTCTTATTTTTATCACTAAGAAAGAAAGATGGTTGGACCTGCTTTCCCAACAGTGAATCTCAGTAGGAAAGAGAAAAGAATTGGACTTTAATTCCTTTTGATACTTTACAAAATGGTACCAACAAGATAGTCCTTTTTTGTGGCATTGGTTGAAGAGGAACAGGAAATGTTAAGGGTAACCAGTACCAGTCAGCATAAGAGTAGCTGGGCTCAGCTTAGGATGCCCAGCTGAAGATACCCCTGGGTTGTGGTACTTGACGACAGAGACAATGCTTCTGTGGTCAAATGACATAGCATGGTTAGAGGTATCTTTTGATCTGTCCTATAGCTGTTAGAGATACAGAGATTAGACCACTGAAGAACTGGATCATTGAAGTAATTTTTAGGAAAATACAGCATTGCTGGATTGTCTTCCAGACACAGGCACTGGTGAATACCTGCTGAAACACTGAGTTCTGTTTTCCACCCTTTTCATTTTCTTGAATTAGAGCTTTTCCCTTGTGCTCAATTTCAATTTCTTGCTGTGTTGAGCTACTGTTAATAAGGAGAAAGTTTTGGTCCTTCCCCTAAAAAATCATCCTGCTGCAGCACTGCTCTTGCTGATGATGTCAGAGGGATACGTTGGTACCCAGAGCTGAGGCATCTGTGTAAACTCTTTCTGTGCTGATGTGTTTGCAATAATCTATTAATCTGCCCTAATAATCTACTTTTATTTTCACTGCCTCTCCCTGTTAAGTGAGATTATATTTGAATAAAACCTAGTACTTACAAATTCCTGGTTTCAGCTGGAAGTTTAATAGCTGGTGTCAAATCTGCTGAAAAGCAGATTTTGTGCTAGAAATGCTAACGAAGCTTCAACAGCAGCAACTGTCAGCCATACCAAGGAATTCCAGGGTTGTATATTTGGGTAGCAGAGATCAGTAAATACATTTGTGCCAACTGACTTGATTTTTGTCAGCAAAATTGACTGTAATGTTAAAAAAATAAAAATGTGTATCTCTGTGGAAGTTTCTGTGTTTTGAGCCCTCAGCTAATCTCCCCAGGCTGGCTTGATGGCTCAAAGGTTTTATTCAGAAGGTCACATCCTTATTTAATACTATTAGTATAAACTCAGGATAATTTAGCTGATACGGATGGAGGTGCTTGTCAGTTCAGTTTTATGATCTTAATATCAATCTCGCCAAGAGTAGGTTGCATTTCTGAAGCTAATGCCATGTTCTTGAACACATCACAGGAAGGCAAAGGTTGATGTTTCACATTTAGATGAATCCTTTCTACAGGATGCAGGTTATTTCAGCTAGTCCGCTTTAAAATGGGAATATGGAAAGAATGTTTGCTACTTTTTTAAGGATTAGCATTCAGATTTCTATGTTTGATATGTTTTCCACTTCTCAATACTGCTGGAAGCATGTTTATTTTTGTGTTCCATTGCAGCAGTTTTAAACCACAGTCCTTTTTAAGCTCTTTTTTTACCTTCTTTATGACATACTAGTAAAGCTGTAGGCTTGCCACAAATCCAAAAAAACCCAAAGCAAATAACAAAATGCAGTATCCACTATATGAAAGTGGATATATAGGTTTATTTCCACAGTCCCCACAGAAATGAATCAAGAATGTTAAATTAAAAGACAAACAAATATATTAATCACTTCTTTCTCTGTTTTCTCACTGCATCATATCTTAATGGCATCTTTCAGACCAGAGCCTTTTGAAAGAAGAAATAATCAATAGCAGTAAAATGCAGCTTGAATGATTATATATCCTGAAGGAATGGTGATTGTACCATTCTCCCCATGCAGGACATGTTTCTAATTCACCATGACTTAGTTGTATGTTCCTAAATAACATGATGTTCTCTGCTGAGGCACTTTTATTTCTGTTCGGAGAAATCCTTTTGAAATGGTTTTTATCTTCTATATTTACTCTTTTATTTTGGGTGTCCATAGTAAAGAAGTAATTAATTAATTGGAGATTTGATTTCCAAAACTCCATCTGTCTTACCAGTCAGCCAATTTGATTATCATCAGCTAGATGATCATTAAGGCTGGATATATTGGTTGTAATAACTTGTGAGTGAATGGCTCACCCTCCTCCTACTCCCCTCCCTTTCCTCAGGAACTTAGATGAGTGATATGCTTCTAAAAGTAGCACAAATTTTCTGGAGGATTAATAGAACGAAATAAATACTTTTTTCCCCTCCCTCCTTCAGGTTGCCCTTGTTCTCGTTTTCAAATCAAATGTCACATTGACTCAAATCCGGTGTTGGAAGCATGTGGGGAACTGCAGCACATCAGCCCGACGCAATGTATCCATCAAACTGGAAGGAAGCCCAAAACCAAAACTCCACTGGCCAAAATGCATCCTCTGCAGAAACCCCAAGGCAAGTGGCTTTGTCCTTCTAGCAACTGTACAAGGTTCTATCACACTTGAAGTGTAGTATTTTTTAAATGATTTGGTTTAATTTTAGGTCACAGCAAAATAATTATTTTTGCGTTTGAAGGTTCAAGTGCAGCTGGTACTGTTATTACCTTAATTTTTTCCAGTGTTAGATAACCTGTTAGGGAAGTCTTCAAGAAGAAAATGATTCAGGAATAACATATTACTTAGCTGGTCAATTTGTATTTCCTGTATTGTTGTTACACCTCATGCAACTTTAAAGTGTAAGTTTATTTAGCAATATTGTTTCCATTCTTTAATAATTTTTAAGTATTTAGGTAAGAATAGCTTATTGTTAAAAACTGTTCTGTTTTCCATTTGTCATGTTCCGTTTTGTCAATGTCAGAACTGTGCAGAGCAGCAGGGAATATCTAAATGGAACACATGCATTTAAAAAATAAGAACTAGAAGCTAAATCAGTCACGTGCAAGGGTAGCATCTGTGCTGTGGTGATTGTACAGACCTGCCAGAATCATAGTCAAAGAGGTGGCAATCCCAAAGCATCGTAGAAGAGAAGCCAGGAAGATATCCCATCTGGTCTGCAGGCAGGTCTTCTGTTCTCCCCAGCTTTTCTTCCCTATGACTTGTGAATGCTAGAAAAAGACTGCAGTAAATTTCTTGAAAAAGGATAAATTCTTTTCATGTTTCTCCATCAGTGAAATGACATGTGGTTGTACTTTGTCAGGTCAGTTGGTCAAGCGCCTCCCATGCCAATACTGTATAAAATGGGTGATTGCCTTAAGGGAATTGCAAATGCAGAAAGCATATAGTTTGAGGTGTTTGGAACAAAGGAGGGTGATGCTGAAAAAAAGTCTTAAGTTCATAAACCAAATTTTATATAAGAAGCATGTCCGTGTGATAGTTGGTCATTGTCACGTGAGAAAAAGAGAGAAGATATTTTGGTCACTGCTGTAAAAGTAGCGGAAGAAGAAATAGGATTCCCAGTGAAAATTCCCATGAGATCCTGTTGTGTAGTACCCAGTACTAGAAAATCACACCACATACTGGTGTCTGACACTGAGCCAGGTTATCCAAAGTGGCAAATCAGCATTACAAGTCTTGGTCATGAATGTGCCAGTCATCTGCCTGAAAGACACTTCTTTGTCATCAATTCTAAATAATAATTTTATTCTTTCACTTCACCTCTTTATTATAAAACTACTTTTTAAAAGTATCTGCAATTAGCTTACATCTGACAGACAGGAGAGAACAGGACATATGATACTTTGCAAGGAAGGGAAGGTGGTACAATTTTTTTTCTACTCACTTTTATTGACTTTGTAACTTTGAAATGGCTTTTCTTGCCTGTAGAGTTTGTTGATCTCCTGTTACTGCATGAGTTCTATACCCAGTAAAGAAATGAGAATACTTAAAACACTTAATGCCTCTCCAGGAAAATGGAATTGTCAAAATAATAATAAAAAAAATTGGCTTTTGTTGAATTAACTGTATTGAAGTTGACATTTTTCCTGTAAATCATCCTTACATCTTCTTGGTGTCCATGTCCATAGGTATGTAGTTGTGACAGTGTGGTACATTGCCTTGCAGCAACAGAATCATAGAATAGTTAGGGTTCTATGAGGAAAGGACCTTAAGATCATCTTGTTCCAATCCCCCTGCCATGGGCAGGGGTGCCTCACTCTAGACCATGTCGCCCAAGGCTCTATCCAACCTGGCCTTGAACACTGCCAGGGATGGAGCATTTAATACTTCTTTGGGCAACCTGTGCCAGTCCCTCACCACCCTCACAAGTAAAGAACTTCTTCCTTATATCTAACCTGAACTTCCCCTATTTCAGTTTAAACCCATTACGCCTTGTCCTGTCGCTACAGTCCCTGATGAAAAGTCCTTCCCCAGCATCCTTATAGGCCCCCTTCAGACACTGGAAGGCTGCTATGAGGTCTCCACACAGTCTTCTCCAGGCTGAACAGGCCCAGCTTTCTCAGCCTCTCTTCATAAGGGAGGTGCTCCAGCTCTCTTATCATCCTTGTGGCCTCCTCTGGACTTGCTCCAACAGCTCCATGTCTTTTTTATGTTGAGGACACCAGAACTGTACACAATACTCCAAGTGAGGTCTCACAAGAGCAGAGCAGAGGGGCAGGATCACCTCCTTTGACCTGCTGGTCATGCTTCTTTTGATACAGCCCAGGATACAGTTGGTTTCTGGGCTGCAAGCGCACACTGAAGCCAGCTCATGTTAAGCTTCTCATCGACCAACACTCCCAAGTTCTTCTCCACAGGGCTGCTCTGAATCTCTTCTCTGCCCAACCTGTAGCTGTGCCTGGGATTGCCGTAAATCTTTCCTCTGTTTTTTTGTTGGTATTTTTATGCAAGAACCTTTCGTCCCAGAGCTTTCTCCCTAGAGCTATATGGATGCCTCATTAGGGCCTGTTTCTGTGCTGGCATCACCACCTGGGACTCTAGGAGCAGCTCTTAAACCCCATCCAAGGTTGTGCCATTGGGTCTTTTATTCTTCTTACGAGTGTATTCACGTGCGAGGGAATAACCCTTCTGCTTCATTATGTGTTTTTTTTTAAGGCCTTTTCTTGTCAAGGGACCGTAACTGAAGCAAGTAAATATTCAAGTGAGGCACCACTTGAATTTCTCTATTAGGTCCTCCCAGCTTTCCCAGTGAGTCATACCAGACCCACCATCACTGGGATGATTAATGGGAATGCCTCCATCGAGTTGCTGATAAATGTGCATTACTGTAGAGATAGCACTTGGGAGAGAAATTCGTGGCCAGTGGGGTGAAGTAATGCAAAGGTCAAGATGCTGGTTTGGGAGTGAGGAAAGGGACCTAATTCCCTGCTGTTTTACAGCCCCAGGTTATATATTCTCCCACGTATTTAACCTTGTCTTTCTTTCTTATTAAATCTGTCCCTCTTCTTCTCATTGTTTTACTTGCTTCTTCTGCAACAAAGATTTTGTGTCTTGGTTTCTGTCTCCTCCAAATAGCTGTAGGCTGCTATCATAAAATGATGGAATGGTTTTGGTTGGAAGGATCCTTCAAAGCTCATCTACTCCAACCCTTTGCCATAGGCAGGGATATCTTCAACTAGATCAGGTTGCTCAGAAACACATCCAGCCTTGCCTTGAATGTCTCCAGGGATGAAGGAGGACTGGGGAAATACCATCCCAGCGCATGGCTTCAGCCTCCAGGCACAACCTGAAGTGTGCTACATAATACTAATATCTCTTCCATTTAGCTGGCTTGCTTCCTTTCTCCACCAGTTTACTTGTCTGTGTGCAGAACAGGCACTGGAAGCTACATCCAAGGTTGTGCTGCTTTGTGGCTGGGACCTGCAAGCAAGAAAATAGCAGCTTTGTTTCCTGCATGGGCTGATGTGTGGAAGGTGGCTTCAGACCATGGGCAGGAGGGCTCCCTGGGCTCCCACTCTGGGTCCTAAATCCCCACTAAAAGCACCTACTTTTTTTTTTTTTTCTTTTGTAGCAGTCTAAAACGGTTTTGAGTTTAAAAGTGTGTGTTATGATGTGTAAATTCTGAATATAGGCTTTTTGCGCCAACACTGTGTGGCTGAATTTTGCTTCGTAATCATGCTTGATAGGCTTTGCCTCAGTGCTCAAAATTATTTCCTTCAATAAACATTCAGAATGAATGAACAGAAGCATTTCCTTCCTTACTTTTTGTCCACTGCGGTGTGCTGTCTTGGGAGACTCAGGTGGAGTTCACTAACAGGAAAGCCATAAAATGTTTTCTTGGACACCAGTGACACCCATTGCCATTAGTGTAAATGCTTTGGCAGTGAACTTCCGAGAGTTGTGGACCAGTCTGAAACTATGAAGGGCATGACAGGGGATGTGGGGCAGGTTCTGTCCTGTCTGCCTGCTGCATTATGCCCCTTCTGTAAAGAGCCTAGAGCTTACCTTTGCTGGCTAGATGAGCAAGATGGCTGCATGGGTACTTTTTTTAGGTTTGGTTTTGTTTTTACAAGGAGATATGACTAGGCTCTCACTGATCATGCGGTGTGTGAGTGAACACCAAGTGACCCAAACATAGGGCTCCACCATCCCATTCATATTCAAGATTATTTCCTTTTCCTGCTCACCTGTTATTCTTGTGTAAGACAGGTTTTGTGGTAGTGGTTTCAAAATTGAACTATTAACACCTTTATTTTAAGACAGGAATTCTGGATGGTTTTGGAGACTGCTCTAATAAGTCGTTTTAGAGGAAGTGTCCCATTTGGTACTGAAATAAATCCAGTAATATAGGTAGTTTAAAGCAGAGCTTTACTTGGAGCTTAAAAACTCTTTGAACAGTCCTTCATCATGGACCTCAGACAATGACTGTCCATGGCAGCTCCTGATCCACTGGAGCAGGGAGGACATCTGGGCTGATGATGGAGCTCAGAACAGATGCAGAGCCTTCTGCAGGGTAGGGACAACAGCAATTGGCTTTTTGGGTGTATATGCCTCCATTTATCCTCCTACAGAAAGTAACCCTGAAATTATGTTCAGAGCCGTTGCTAATTAAAACTCCATTACAATATTAATCACATTATGCTGATGTGCTGTCTGGACCATTTAAAAATTGGAAATGCCTGAAATAAATTGTTCTTGAAAAAAACCACATATTTAGAGTTTCCTCCTTTAATGTATTAACTCTGTGGATAGTCTGGACTGGAGTGGATCCTTGGCTTTGCCTACCCAAGTAGCGTGTGCTTTGGGAGTAGTCATGCAGTTGGTTTTCCTGCCTTGTAGTGTCAGGTCTCCCCATGTGAGGCTGCTTTCAGTGTGTGAAGCTACAGCAGCATGTGAACCTGTTGCTGGGGTTACTGCTTGTGTATTTTCAAACCCATGTACCCTGCAAGCAGTGCAAGGTCTGAATAAATTTTTTAAAATGACATTTTTTTAAAATACTGTATTAAATCTGCTGAATCCTTAAGCAGAATGTATATGTTCATACACCCCGTACTTTATTTATATCATACAGAGCTGAATGTAGAACCAAAAGAGGAAGTGAAGACAGCACCACAGAAGATGGGGGAGGGAGAATGAAAGGAAGAGAAACTGTTATGTTCTGCCTGTAGTGCTTGTGAGCAAGCAAACACAAGGCACTGAAATCCATGGTGGGATGGGTTTTGGTGGTTTGTTTTGGGTTGGTTTTCGTTATTGTTTTCCAGTATAAGAGGTTCAACAGATGCCTGAGTTCTAAAAAGTCTGAGAGGGGATTCTGGTGGTGAGCACATTTGCAAAACCGAAGGGGTGAGCTGTGCATCCTGTTTCATAACAAGGAAGCGGTAAAGTTCTGTGAGCTGTTGGGTCATTATCAGGATACAGCACGAGAAACACAAAATAGAAGCCTGCTGTTTCTCTTTAGTGTACGGCAGCTTGCTTTGGCCTGAGAAATACTTCGGGGCTGGCTTTGTGCCATTTATAAAGGGTGGGGAAAGAATGGATACCCCCGATCTGCACTGAGTGCTTGGATTTTGTTCCCAGTTTAAGATAAAGAAGATGGAGATTTATCTTCCCATTTTTCCCCCTGTCTTTTATTAGTACCTCCTAAGCCTGTCCATCTCAAACCTGGGCAGGAAAGAATTCCTCCTGCACCTTCTCGGCCTTTGCCAGCTGATCCCAAGTCATCAAGGAGCGTAGCACCTGGAGAAGAAGAAATACCCATATCAGCAGGAGTCAACACGCTCATTGAGAGATTTGAAAGTATTAGGTAAATATGGTTTTGGAGAACTGCTCTAATCTCTCTTTTCTGCATTTTTAACTTAGAACTTAACCATAGAAAACATTAATTGTAATTATCATGTAGGAACTCCTCTCAAGATGTTTCCTACTGGAAGTGCAAAACCTGACTGACTACACAATGAGTTGCTTTTGCTTGTTTGTTTGTTTGTTTGTTTTTATAAAAGCATATATTACAGCAACTTTCAGTTTGTATCACGCAGTTGTTCTTAAGGAGCTTAAGACCTGATGAATTTGGTAAGTGTTCTATGAGAAACAAGAGCCCAAGAGTCTGCTTTCAGTACGTTGCCTTGGTGTCAAGATTGGATTTTGATCGTAGGAACTTGATTACTGTGATATAAAGTAATTGAGTTTTCTGCCTAAGATTCTGCCTAAGATTCAGTAAACACAGATGTTGTTAGCTTGCTTCTTGTAGGCAAGGGAGAGTTAAATCACAATGTATTGTGGAACAGTGTCCTGTAGAACAGCATTGCCTCTGAAACTTTATATATAAGGGGCACTAAATGGTAAAATATGTATATTTTGCTGCAGACCTAGCTTGTTTACAAATACATGAAAACTCTCCAAAAAGCAAATCAAACCAAACTGTTTTTCAGGGCAGTGTTGGGAGTATTAAAGGCCCAGGGTTCTAGTGGTACCATTTCAGTAAAACTTACGGCTGGGGGTGGTGTGTTTTTACTGGGAATTGTTGGGTGAATGTCATTATGGCAGTGTGCACACACTTGCCTCCTAGGATTGTCAGAGGGGTGCAAGAAATACACCTTGAGTCAAATGATAATAAGGCACTCCTTGTTTTGGGGCACTCTTGAAACCTCTGGATGTTATTACGAATGGCTGTGGTGCTTTCTCTTTGCCTGCAGGCAACCTGTACATATTCTTCAAAGAAACCAGCTCAATTTATCTCTTAAGATGGACCCTGGCCTGGACTCACCCAAACAGCCAAGCTTATGTGACTGTGACATGGTGGCTTCCAGCAGTTCTTCAAATGAGAAAAGTGAACCAGATGAGAACGAGCCAGACGCCCCGTGCAGTGCAGATCTGTCCAACACAGACATCATGAAAATTAAAGAGCTAAGTATAAGTGATAACAAAAGCTGTGAAGACTGTACTGCTGTGACAGTGAGCAAAGAGACCTCTGCAGAGCTTGGCAATAAAGACTCAACTGCAGAATTGAATGGTAATGGTAAAATTCCCAACAGAGACAGTGGCATTGACAGTCCTTCTTGTAGTGTGGCAGGGGAAACCTTCCCCAGCGAAGAAGGTGCAGAGCAGAAAAAGCCTAGCATGGCTGGGAACCCAGGGGAGATGGAATCTGACAAAAAGAGCATCAAACCTTCCTCTGCGGAGCAGAAGAGAGACTCCACACAGGAGGAAGACAGTGACATTGATGAAGGAAGCAGCGAGGAGCAAGAGACAGTAGAAGTCCCAAAGTTAGAGTATTTGGATATAAACAAGGTAAGGTAGTTTGGTTCATTGCTGTTAAGTGCTCTGAGATCTGTTGCATCACTTTCATACACTGCTTGGGGTTTACATCAAATGATCATGACAGTCATCATGATTTTCTGCTTGATGCAGGCCATAACTTGCTCCTCACCTAAATAGTACCATTTAGAAAGGTTCCCAGTCTTGATTTAAAAGGTTTCATATAAGAGAATACATCACAGCCAGAGGTAAGGAATTAAAATTTAACTGCTTTTGTAGGTGAGCTTTTCTGTGTCTCGTTTGGGTCGAGCAGCTTCTAGCTGCTAGATCATGTCGTTTTCAAGCGGGCCTTCATGATCTTCAGAGGGCAAATTGGATAGTGCATCTTGCAGGGTCACAGCCTTGCATCCTGTGAGGATGTGTATGATGGAATCTCTTCCAACAGTGATTTCTTTTTGAGACAAAAAGTGGTGTGATTATTTCATGAGTGCAAAAAAGTTGTTTTGAGGGTAGATAGATCAAATTACTCATCAGGAAACTGACACTAGAAGAGATTTTCTTTGAATCCAGACTAATGTAGTCCAGGCTGTTGTGTATTTGCTGCATCTACCTAAGATTAATGACAGATTCCTTTCATTATCTATTTATCAAGACAGTTATTTTTAGAAATAGTGATGATAGGGTGGGTTAGTTTTTTTCTGAAAAAGAAAACAGAAGATGCTTTGAGCAAAACTGCAAAATATTCCACTCTTTGTTTCTTGGGGTTTTTAGTTGGTGTTTGGGGATGTTTGGATTTTTTTCCTTTTCTCCCCCCTCAGCCATCATGACAGTAAAGTTAGTATAATGGATTTTTGTTCTTCAAAGTATATGGTGAGCATGAGCAACTAATAAACTGTAGCACTCACACTTTGTTTGTGCCAATCGGGTGGTTCTGTTGGAATCACCAAGTATATCCCGATTTGTGTATGTCAATTGCTTATTCCCTTGGAAACGTGGCAGTTAAAACTCATGAAATAGCTGCTGGGTCAAATCAGGCAGTGACATGACGAAAACTGCATGCAGGTATGTGGTAAATGGGGAGGATGTTATCTTGTTTGCTTCTTTCTGAGTCTGCAGTCCCTGGCAGCTGTTGCAGATTCAGGAGGAGGAACCCATCAGCCTGTCCCACCTCCATGAGAGCCAGGGAGCACAGCCTTGCCTTGGACTGCCTATGCTGGATGGGACTATCTGGGCATAGAAGGCTGTGGTGCAGGTTGTCTTGGACTTGTACAGAAGTAAATCAATGGCATCGAGTTTAGGGGATCCAGCAGGACTGCAGGGTCTGTACTGCTAAAGGAGACCTCTGTCTTTTATCTTGTGTGCAAGAACTTAAAGTGGGCATCTGCAGGCAACATCTTAGAGATGAAGGCTCCAATTAACATCTTGCTGTTAGCACCTACTGCTAATACAGTATCTTGTATTATCCACATCTGTACTTGTAAAATTATGGGAGTGGTGGATACATGAGGGTGGTGGGACACTGGTACATGGTGCCCAGAGAAGCTGTGGCTGCCCCATCCCTGGCAGTGTTTAAGGCCAGGTTGGACACAGGGGCTTGGAGCAACCTGCTCTAGTGGAAGGTGTCCCTGGCCATGGCAGGGGGTTGGAACTGGATAAGCTTTAATGTCCCTTCCAATCCAAACCACTCTATGATTCTATGATCTATTAAGACAACATCTAATGCAGCCATTGAGATCCCCTATCTCCTCAGTAGTCTGCAGTGAAAGCTTCTTTACATCTCAGATGGGCAGCATCACCATCACAGTGCAAGGCTTCTTGCCTGCTGCTGTTGGTTTTCCTCGTGTACGTGTTTGTAAATATATACACACACTGTGAAATACTGTAATTATTTTATATTCATAATATATGTGCATGTGTGCAACTGAAATGTTATTTAAAGATTGTTTATTAATTGTTACATGCCAGCAAGAAAATAATGCATTGAATTAAACAAAAAATATCTTTAATCTGGTAATTAAATTTACTGTTTGGACTAGGAATGCAGTATCAAACCAGCTGTGACAAGCCAAGCAAAAGACTTTGCCATGTGATTAAGGAGTAACTTGCTGGCAAATGCCAGTGTCTTGTGATACATGAGTTTTGATGGCTGTTCTTTAAGTCTTATTCCTTGAGTTAAGTATCGATATAGTATGAAATAATGCTGACAAAACACAGAGTTACAAGGTCATAATTCTCTGCAGGATGCTTGGTGAATTTAGAAAAGAGATATCTCTAGAGGATGATTTTTTTGTTTTGTTTTCTTGTGTTACTCTCCTTCCTGAAGTGCATTTAGGTGATGCACCTCAGGTTCTCCCTTGCATTTTGAGTTGATTTCACCTTCCAAAAGGGAGTTTTGATGCTGTTAGCTTGGTTTTGCAGCCAGGTGGAGGGGGAAGGCTTAGAGACTGGCTGCTTCTTCTACAGTGTAAGGGTTGTGCCCTCTTCTGGGGATGCAGCATGCAAAGCCAATGTGCGTGTGAAAATCACCCCTTCATTTCTGCTGCAGATTTGCGGTGCTATGGACCAAGGCTTAGGGTAAAGGGCCACAGCTTCCAGCAAGGACAGCCATTGTGATTTGAAGTTGACTTGATCTGCGGTTTCTTAGGCTGAAATTCACATCACCCTTGACAAAACTGGGAATTTTCCAGAAAAAAAGATACCTGTCCTGCTTGAAGAAAGAGCAGAGTTCAGTCAGCACCAGCTGCTGGCTTGAGGGCGGGGAAGACCCCAGCTCCCCCTAGAAAGCTTTGTATCAGGAGCCAGCATCTTTTTCCTGCATCCCTGTGCTATTCTTAGTACCAGGCTTTGCAACTGCACAACAGGGGTAACCAACAGCTCCTTACATCTGCAGCTTTCCAGAAAGCTTTGTGATAGTTGGAGGAGGAAGACGCATAAGTACAGCTGCAGAATAATTTAGTGATGGCTCAGTAAATCCTAGTATATCAAGCTAAGTGAAGCTCATGAATAAACATAAGTAGGGGGGAAAAAGATCAGATTTGCTTCTTTCTTCTCTAATTTTCTGTTTCAGATCTCTCTCCATCCACCACCCAAGCTTTCCCACATCCCACGGCTGGTGAAACAACACTGCCAGATGTAGGACTCATATTGTTTTATTTAATTCTGCGGTGTGATGTGGCTTCCTCTGGGAGTCTGCAGCACAGTTTAACAGGTCTCACTATTAGCTCAAAATTATTGGAATATGGTTTTAAATCTCAGGAGTGACTTACTGAGCTTTCCAGTTATCTCTTGTCAAAATGAAAATGAACAAAGGGAGCTTATTAGTTTTGATAATGTCTCAGAAAATGTCAGGAGCTCCAGAAACTGAGGCATGTTAGCCTTGATGGTTACAAAAAAAAAAAGAGGCATGAAAGTGAGTCTGAGGGGCTGTCATGTTCTGTAGTCATATACCCAAGGCTTCTTCTGACTGCCTGGGAGCAACAGAGTAATGCTCTGGAGATGGCTAACACTTCTTCATATCTTTTTATTTAGATATTTTTCACTAAGAGTAATATGTGCTCATTAGTAATCACTAAAAAATGCCTTTCTCCATCTGTCCTGCTTCCTGCTGTGTGAAATAGTAATAATGAAGTCCCATATGGGCCTTACACAGTCCCTGATACATGCTTACACTCTGCCTGGACATGGCTGGAGATTGACTTCTGGTATCATTGTCCTGTTTGTGCTGGAAAAGTTGGCCTCCAGACCTGCAAGTCAGACCTTTGGGTAGGATTATCTCCATGTATTATCTCCATGCTGAGAAAAAATTTCATAAGTCAATGTTTTAACCAGTCATAATGCTGGCTAAGAAAAATCAGACATGTTCTTATCATCTTTTCTTAAAATATCCTAAGGAAAATGAGATCTCAATACAACAAAGATGATCACCAAGCACAGGATAACTTTTCCATATTGTTTTCAGCATTTTTGAATAGGAAGTTTTCTGTCATCTTTCTAGGACTTTCTGTGTTCTTTGTAGGTGTGGCTAGTGGGGTTTTAAAGCATAACTTATGTTATTTTAGCCTAATCTGTATCCCAGCAGCTTTCCTGTAGGATTCTTTGGAAGTTCCTTGTGACAGAGGTGCTAACTGAATACTGAATGTGGCTGTGCACAACCAGTTGTATGAACACTGGTTGCTGCAGCGTGTTGCTCAAGCTTTCCTCCTATCAAGCCTTCATTTTTTACTTTAAATGTTCATTTCCAGTTTGCTTTTTGAGTCACATGGGTTGGTCTCTGCATCCAGGGCTCCGTGGCCTGGGTATGCTCACCAGGATCAGCCGTGTAGGTGAGTAGGATCGCAGCAAGCAGCGATGCACTTGTGGGCACTTGACGGCACAAGTCAGCTCAGCATGTGCCACACCCTAACCTGTGTCTGTGACTGGGGTATTTGAGGTGCAGAAGCATTCCCACCATTGGTGTGTATCTGACCTTTGAGAGAAGTTGGTTCTGTTTGTTTTCAGGCTGGTGTTTCCTTTATCTTTAAAATGTCTTATGGACAGTAACATCTGGAAATGAATTTTTGAAACTTCCACAAGGAAGTGAAAGAGCATCATGTTGCTTTGAGCACTGGAGTGAGCTTTCTGTGGCGTGAAGTCATAGAATAGGATCATAGAATAGTTTGGGTTGGAAGGGACCCTCAAAGCTTATCTAGTCCAACTCTCCTGCAATGAGCAGGGACATCTTCAACTAGGTCAGGTTGCCCAGAACACATCCAGCCTGGCCTTGAATATGTCCAGGAATGGTGCATCCACCACCCCTCTGGGCAACCTGTGTCAGGATTTTACCACCCTCGTAAAGAATTTTTTCCTCATGTCCAGCCTGAATCTCCCCTCTTTTAGTTACAAGCCATCACCCCTTGTCCTGTCACAACAGGACCTGCTGAAAAGTCTCTCCCGATCTTTCTTATAGGCTTCTTTTAAAAGGCCACAATAAGGTCTCCCGTTCAGGAGCCTTCTCTTGTCCAGGCTGACCCAGCCCAGATCTCTCAGCCCGGCTCCAGAGCAGAGCTGCTCCAGCCCTCACAGCAGCTCTGTTGCCTCCTCTGGACTCACTCCAACAGCTCCATGTCCCTGTTGTGCTGTTGTCCCAGAGCTGGATCAGGACTGCAGGGAAGGTCTCCCCAGAGCACAGCAGATGGAAAGAATCCTCTTCCTTGACCTGCTGCATGTGCTCTGGGGTGCAGCCCAGCACATGGGAGGGTTCTGGGTTCAAGCGCACACTGAAGCTGGGTCATGTCTGTGTCAACACCTCCTGCTTCCCTTTTCTCATCTTTCTTCTGACCTCAGCAGCGAAACAATTTTGACAAGGCTCTGCAGTAGATGTCTGGTGGGGATGTGTGACTGTGGGGGACAGTCAGAATATGCTATGGCTGTGCTGAGAGGTCAGTCAGCAAGTGCATTGGGCAGAGCAGAATATAATCCACATTTGAGTTCGCAAATTTGTTTTACTTTAGAAACACAGACTGTGAAATAACTCATTTATAGTGAACTGAACTTTGGCTCAGGCTTTGTTGAAGCCGTCCTGCCATGGCACAGAACAACGTTAGAAGAATGGGGCTGCATCACGTTCATTTATCTACTGTTTCATTTAAAACGTTTTGTCCACTGAAAAGCAAATATGTTGCAAAGTAGTCTGGGAAACACTCGCTGCCCTTAGCAGAGACAGCAACCGCAGATGGAGTCACTCTTTAGAACTGAGCTCAAGCTGAGAGTCTGTTTAGCTGCTGTTTGGTATTTAAGCAGATGTCAGCAAGGTTTTTTTGGAAATAAAAACTTAATTGCAGATGGTGAAGGTCTGGAGGTTAGCGAGTGGCTGCGCTGTGTAAAGATTTACTTCTGAGAACAAACGTGTTTGCTTGGAAATAATGATTTTTCAAATTCTGAATTCGAAAAGCTCAAAAGATGCTGTTGGCAGTTGGCGTGCTGGCCTGTTCCATCCATGTCTTTCATTCAGGCTCCTTTCTGTGCCCTGCAGAACTGGCAGATAAATTCTTTCTCAGTGAGATTCTCCTAGTTACTGGAGTTTGAATGGCCAGCAATGCGTTTCATTCTGAGCTGTAATGTGGGTTTGTTCATTTTCTTTCCCCCTAAATATTAATATATATCACATGGATGAATGGAACAGGATGTTCTGTACATTGCTAGGATATCTTAAGACAGTATTTGAATTCGTTTGAAATAATTTGAGTAGTGGGGTAAGCAGAGTATGTGCCAAAGCTTTATTCCTGGCATGGTTGCCCATCTCCAGGTTTGTGCCTAGGAAGAGAGGGATTGCTTTGAAGGAAGACTGATGCTTTTTTAAACCCGGAAAAGCTGTTCACCTTCCTACAATTAATGCTTAGATCATGGAACTGTGGGTAGTTCATGCTAAGTGGTGTTTCATTTCACGTAGGGTAACTGTGGGTCTGGTTTGTTCGAATTCTTGGCTAGCTTTGTAGAGTCCTGGAGGTCTTTTAAGTTGTATTGCAGTTTGCTGAAAGGGGGTTGAGGAGGTGGAGGTGTTACTTTAATTTTTTCTTGTCAGTTGTGTTTGGAAACACAATAAAGTGATGTTGAAGAAGCTCAAAGAGAGCATTCAATTGACATTTTCTAACAATCTGGTGGTGGCCCTCAGGGTTATGCCTTGAAGTGCCTGACACAAATGCTGGCAAGCACAGAGAGACAGGCATTTGGGATGGAAAGCTCTGCTCCTGGTGAGAGGCCCAGGTGCTTCCTGAACTGGAAACAGCCCTGTTGTGTTTAACAGACTTCAGCTGGACTTCTGCTCCATGGATTTGTCCAGTCCTTCTGTGAACCTGCTTGTCTGCAGCGACATCTTGCTTGAGGAAGTGGCTCAAGTTGGTCTTTAAGCAGCACCTTGGTAATTTTATTCGATGCCCTTTAGTTTTCTTGTGGAAGAAATAGGGAATAATTGCACCCATTTGTTGCTCTCTGTTCTGTTAATCACTCATACATCTCTCTTACCTTCATGGCAGTTGTCTTTTTTTGTGGATCCAGCCCAGTAAAATTTCCCTACTTTGATCATCCTTGCTGCCTCTTTTAGATGTTTGTATTCCTGAACACAGAACAGCCAACTCTGAGGTCTGACTGGTTTGGTAATATGTAAGCACGGTGTTGAAAACCTGCACCCTTAAAAAGGTATCTAGAGACTGTCAGAAAGCTCAAGCCTGTGTCCTAATCATTTGAGTATTTTAAGCGCTTGAAGAGTGAAGAGTCTGTGTAGCTTTTGGCTAAATTGTGAACAAAGTCAGTGCTTTATAACTGCATTCAGGTTTTTTAGTAAATCCTTTCTCGTTTATTTTTTTAAAGGAGTTTAATGAAAGATTTCACTGAGTGACTCAGGTTCTGTTGCTGAAAATTCTTTCCAGCGAATAGGCTGCTCTTTAAAGCTGTGCAAAAATCTCAGAAACATGCCATGGAGAATAGTGCTGTGCTGGCCAGGGAGAGAGACCTGTGCCCATACTGGTCTGGTTTCTAGTTTTCTTTTTAGTCACAGGACCTAAACCCAAAAAGGAGAACAGTTATAGTCTAGTGCCTTAGTTACCAAATATAGACTTATTTCCACATTTGGAGGATGTTTTTGGTTCCTTATAGAAAATCATAATGAACTCCAGTGATATGCTGACCAGCCATTGACTGCATTACTAATTGCTCTTTCAGAAAATAGCTCTAAAAATGTCACTATAGCAAACTGATCCTTTGATGATGAATGTGGAGCATTTCAGAGCAGACTCTGAAATGTATTACCATCCTTCACTTCAGGCTTCTCTGCTGGCAGGGAATCTGGCTGATTGAAAAAATGGAAAAATGTTGATGAAACTTAGGTTTGTAGGTGCAGATGGATTGTGTTATTTCTAACTTTTTCTTTCAGTGTACAGAGCCCCAAAAGCTATTCAATATCGCAAATGAACTGCTCCATACAGAAGAAGCATATGTTAAAAGACTCCATCTGTTGGACCAGGTAATTTGATTTTGAATAAACTCTGCTTTCTTTTCTGTGAGCAGCAAGAATGTCTGCTGTTCATCCCCTAACCTATAGCCCAGTAGTGTGAAACCCCTGTTTACAGGTGGGAGATGGAGTTCGCTTGCCAGGCTGCGTGCCATGGGTCCCAGAGGTGAGCTTTTGGCAAGGGGGATCCCAGAGCTGGAATCCAAGGATTAGGATGTTGGAAAGAAGAATGGGAAAGCAGCAGCCCAAGATACCGATACCATCAACATTTTGGTTATTCCTGGGGTGTACATGGAGAGGAAATCACAGGGACACTGGAGGCACTAAGAAATTATGAAATCAGTGATTGTTCTGTAATGTGCAAGAGGTTTGAGTTTTACTAAAATCAGGCCACATGGGTAAGTCTCAGGCTCACAGAAATTAGGGTTTTTCTTAACCCACTGTGTTTTGCAATTGTTGTCCATCATGTTTACACATGGGGGTAAAGTAAAGCTGACGTGATGAGCCTGAACTTTCTTCCGCATAAACACCAAGGCGAGTCTGCAGAGTTCAGGCATTTCTATAATTAGCTCAAATTAAAAAAACAAATCTGACTGTGCAGGAAAGGAGTAAAGATGAGGATGAGTCACATTGCTAACAAAGTGCTTGTTAAAACCATGGCAGGGTGAAAATTGTCACCTTGCTAGAAATCTTGTTAGAAGCTGTAACTTGCAGAGCCCTCTACCCTCTGACTCTAGGACCTCTGTGGAAGACATTCCAATGTTTGCTTTGGATAAGCAGAGACTGTTTCAGGACCTTAGAAATGATGGGTGTTTTTCTCTGTTGTTCAGTACACAGAGAAACAAAATAATCACATATTTATTTTGTTTCACAGAAATAGGGGTAACTGTTCTTCAGGGACTGGTTGTTCTTTGCAACTGGCACTCCTAAGTACAAGATGCCCAGTCTTCTTGTTAGCTCCCATCTTTTTTGATTTACCCATATGACTATGGCCTGTAGTCACAAATCTACCCCTACTTGACAGTGGGCTTACATTTTCTGAACCCTCTGAAAGACCCCAAGGAATGACTACCAGAAGTCAAAAGTTGTAGCTCTCTTCTAAGGCAGTCAGCTTTGTAATACTGCAATCTAAAGCCAGTGTGTGCAGGATTGGTTTTTGTAAATCTATGTTGGTACTGTCTTGTTGTCTTACGCAGGTTTTTTGCACTAAGTTGTCAGAAGCAGGTATTTCATCTGAAGTGATCACGGGCATCTTTTCAAATATTTCTTCCATCTATTGTTTCCATGGACAATTTCTTCTTCCTGAGCTCAAAACAAGAATTACACAAGAATGGTGGGTAACTGTCATTACAGTTCTCTTAAAAATGCATTTTCAAGAAGCCAGAGCAACTGTAAGGCCTCATCTCATTCCAGGTTTTAATTGTTTAATGCAGCAGCTCACTTGTTATTTAATACATTAGTCTGCAGTCCCTGAAGGATTTCTGACTTCCAGAATAGACTTGAGCCCTCAGAATTTGCAGAGTACATTGTGAGAATTTTTTCAGTCCAAAGTATTGCCAGAGCTGTTTTCTTTACTGTAGTGCCACTCTCCTGTTAGTGCAGTACTGTGAAATTGCAGTATTGGGGAAGGAAGGAAATTGCTTGTTTTGGCTCCATAGATAAAGTATTTAGGCCCCACTCTGAGGTGTTAAAGAACCTCAGTTCTCAAAGAAGGAAAATGCATTGTCATGTCACAGTTCAGGCTCAGGTGCCATTTTGGAGGTGTCACCAGAAACAGCCACTTTGTGGGGTTTTTTGAGTTTCATTGTGGTTATGTAAAATTTAATATTAGAATTAGCATTATAGCAGTCAACCAGTGGAAAATCTTGACAGATGAGATGGATGACTTCATGTCTATAAATCTGCTTATGTCATTACACAACCACTTCTGTTGTTGAGCACCACAGCATTGTGTTTTTACCCCAGAATTTGTTGGCCTTTTGTTCTAGGAGATAATAAATGCTATTGGTTACAGTGTATACCTGCTTTCTTTAAGAAAATAGGTGTAGTTCTAGTTTTTGGGTTGGTTTTTGTTTGGTTGGTTTTGTTTCTTTGGGGTCTTTTGGGGGGGGGGATTTTGTTTGTTTGTTGGGGTTTGAGGGGTTTGTTGGTTTTTTGGTTTCAGGATTTTTTTTAATTTGGGAGTTGTTTTTGTTTTTCAATGAGTAGTAAAGGCCAAATACCAATTCAAATTTGTCACCTGCATGAAGTTGTAGATAAGGCAGAAATGCAGCAATAGGTAGAAACGTTAATTGCAAGGCAGATGCAGGAAACTTGATTTGAGATGACACCTTGACTGCATAGTGCCCTGCAGTGGAAGTTTCAGATAGTGCTGCATCTTTCCAAGTACCCTGACTGATTAAGACAAGACCAGAGTTCACATCTCCCTTGGCTGAGGCCAGTCTTCATATAGTTTATCAATGACCAGAAAGAATTAGTGAGTATCAGCACCCTTGGACCTGACTTGGCACTTATGGGTACACGTTTAATAAAGGGAGGGAAACTGCAGAGTCTGGAAGTCAGAGAGGTCAGAAGCTTGTTTGACAGCTGAAGAGTTCAGCAGGAGAAGAAAGCTGGGAGATAAATGGCTGGTGCTCTGCCCAGCTGTGAATTTGGAGGAGACAGATGTCTCTGGGACTGCCCGGCTGCGCCGAGTGATCTCTCTGTATTAAAACCTCTTCAGATGTTTGGCTGTGGTGGAAGAGATGATTTTAACAAAGTAGAAGTTTTCTGCAGGATTTTGCACTGGACAGCAGAGATCTATAGAAGTCTCTTTAAGAATGTGTGGTCAGTTTGAATTTGATCTTCACTTACAACAGTGACACTGGGGGCAGAACTGCTGTACGTCTAGATTAATGTTGGCCATTTCATCTAGGGTACCACATAGATTACTTTAAATTTAGCCTGGAGCATCTTGATTGCATATGTGTGTAAGTGCTTGTGCATGTGAGAGACAACTGTTAAAGTCATGCAGTTGTGTTTTTTCTCTGAAGATAGTACTGATTTCCAGAGATTTCAGTGCTTACCTGTTGCTTTCCCATAGGAGTGTCAACCCACGGCTTGGAGATATCCTACAGAAACTTGCTCCTTTTCTGAAGATGTATGGAGAATATGTAAAGAACTTTGACAGGGCAATGGACATGGTGAACACATGTATGCAGAGGTCCTCTCCATTTAAAGATGTCGTTCAGAACATACAGGTATGTTAATTGGCATAATATGGAGATCCTCATTTATTTGTGTGAGTTTTTTTTCCCCAGTATGTGACACACGGTGTTTAGCTACAAGATAACACTGCTCTAATACTAAAAATACATCATTTTTAGTGACAGTCCTTTTTTCTCTTTTTGTTGTGTGAAATGCATTTTTCACATAGATAGTTTTTTTCTGCTCACATATTTGAGAGGAGTATCAGAAGACACAGAACAAAACCTCGCTCCTGGCCCAGCAGTTCTGACTGCAAACATGTCCATTTATAAATGCTTTTTGATTTCTTTTCCTTATCACTAATTTTAATTGCTTTTTAATAAATATGTTTTCATTCTGAGGTGGGTGTGTTTGAGTGCGAGTGTGTCACCAGCAGCATCTGCTGCTGGTCTGATTTTGCAAGGCTCAGGAAGTGGCATGCAGCTCTTGGGGCTCACAGCTCTGCAGGAAGATGCTTATCACATGTTTTCATGTGTTTTCTCTTAATTGTACAGAAAGCTGTGTGGGGAGGGAGGAAGAGCTCTGCTGATGCTGGTGTATCTGTGAAACCTCTCTCTACCCTCAGGCCCAGGGCCAGCTGAAGGGATGCAGCAGGCTCCAGCACACTTGCAAGCATCTCTGCCTGTGCTGGGAAAGCAGATACCATCCTTTGGGAAGGGCGAGCTGGCAGGGAGTGGGTTAAACTGCTGAGGGAGCACAGCTGCCTGCCCTCAATGGGAGGATTGTGGCTGGGCCAGCTGTTGGGAATCAAGTAATCCCCAGCAGTGGGGAGGGAGGCCCTGCACAGAGGGTCAGGGCTTGGAGGAGCAGGGGCTGGGGACGGTCCTCTCCTATCAGACTCTCACTCCACATGGCCCTTTCTTAACCTTTGTTCTATCTGAACCCAGCTTGGCATCTGCCCACCCTGTCTTCTCTCACCACCAAGCTACCGACACAAGCCATGTGGATTAGCTGTCAGTCTGCAGAGCTGGTGTGCAGCTGCCTGAGACCATGACCATTTCTGCTGTTGCTTGAGAAAGAGTTAGTGAAGCAGCATGAGTGCAGGCAGTGCATGTGGAAGGTGCCATTCTGAACCCCACCGATGGCAGGATTTCACTGTATGTTATTTTAGTGGCAACATCAAAGCACCTTTTGCTTCTGTCAATGACCGTACCTATAGGAGGCAAAGATTTGACCAGGAAAACTTAGTTCACTCATCTCGCCTGTCTCTGTGCTATCAAAAGTCACTATTACTTTTCAAAATACCAGCTGAAGTCTGTTGTGGTCCTTCAGTAACAAACTGTTCACCTAAGCTGTTAATGGAACAGTGAATTGCAGTGTGAACTCTCTAAACTTTGAAACATTGCATAATATTAAACTTCTCCTATTTTGAACAGTTTATTTTGTCACTGCTGACTTTTGGCATGTGAATAAAACTGATGTGAGCCTTGATGTGACTTCCTCCTCTGCTTCCCTCTTGCTGTTCAGTGTTAAGGTTCATTCTATTGCTGGAATAAAAAGGCAATGGAGAAGGTTATAGTAAGTGGACTGGGAGTATAAACCAAGCACTAACATGTAGTAGTGCAGTTCCATGCCCCTTTTAGTTCTTCTTGGAATCTCTGATTCTTTCCATCCCAGTTACGTTTTCTGGGAAATGTGGTGCTGTAAAACACTGAGAGAAAATATTTTCACTTCATCTCCTATAAACAGAAATATTATTCACACTGCTACACTGTGACAAGAGAGTTTTAAAAGCAAATTTACATCTGAATTTCTGGAAAGATAGCTTTTCCTTTTCTCTCAGACACTCATCAACTGCAGGCTTCGCCTTGGGAATTGGGTGAGCCAGCAGGGTGTCATGGGCAGTGATATTTATAAGGAAAATGGCAAAAACCTGAAGCAAGCACATTTCTCTGAGAAAAGTGTGTTGAAACTAATGTGGCTGTTGAGAGGCTGCTTATAGTAGAAAAGACCAAGGCATGGCATTAGTGAGCTGACGTAAAATCAATGCTATGGAGAAGAGCATGTGTGTGGTTAACACACCGATGTGGGATTCAGGGGTTGGATTACATCGATAACAGAAATCTCCTGTGTGCTTCAAAGCAAGTAACTTATTTTCATAGGATCCCTATGAAGTGAATGGGCATTTTTATTTAAGAGAGGAGAAATGAGAAACACAGGAAGAATAAGTACACTGCAACACTCTACCATTGCAAGCAGAGCAGATCAGTGCCTTACTGGATAGTATTTAGTGTAACCAGTATCAAACTTACCCTCCTTCTTGGTCAAATGGAAAGAAAAAAAAAAAGGAGAATTTGAGGCAGCTCCTTCTCCAGATGGGATATGTGAGCAGTGTGTCTGCTGCTTGTGCTGTAAGCTCTAGCAAGTACTATAGCCCTGTGGGGTTTCTGGTTTTACTTAGTCTTTGGGAGGAAAAATGCTATGTAAAGCCATGGAGGGGAAGTTTTTCTGAGCTTGGGAAGGAGCATGCAAAATCTGAAAAAGGATTGTTGCATCTCTGCAGACAGTGCAAGACATGGGACTAAGGTTCACATGAAACCTGTCAGCTCTGATAGCTGCTGGTGGGCAGGAGGCTCTACGGGTGCATCTGGACAGGCTACATCAATGGGCTGTGGCCAGTGGGATGACGTTCAACAAGGCAAAGTGCCAGGTCCTGCACTTGGGCCACAACAACCCCACGCAATGCTCCAGGCTTGGAAAGAGTGGCTGGAAACTGCTCATGGTAAAGGACTTGGGGGTGCTGACTGATGGAGCTGAACATGAGCAGCTTGTGCCCAGGCAGCCAAGAAGCCACGAGCATCCTGGCCTGTATCAGAAATAGCATGGCCAGCAGGACCAGGGGAGTGATTGTTCCCCTGCACTGGGCTCTGATGAGGCTGCACCTCAAACCGTGTTCAGTTCTGGGCCCCTCACTGCAAGAGAGACATTGAGGTGCTGGAGTGGGGCCAGAGAAGGGCACCGGAGCTGGTGCAGGGCCTGGAGCACAAGTGTGATGAGGAACAGCTGAGGGACCTGGGGGGTTTAGTCTGGAGAAGAGAAGGCTCGCGGGGACCTTATCACTCTCTACAACTGCCTGACAGGAGGATGGAGGCAGGAGGGCTTGTTCCCAAGGAGCAATGGACAGGACAGGAGGAAACGGCCCCAAGCTGTTCAGGGAAGGTTTAGACTGGAGATTAGGAACAATTTCTTCACCAAAAGGGTGGTGAGGCATTGGAACAGGCTGCCCAGGCTGTCCCTGTAAACCCAAGTCATCCCTGGAAGTATTTAAAAGATGTGTAGATGTGGCGCTTGGGTTCATGGTTTAGTTTAGGATTTGGCAGTGCCAGGTTAATGGTTGGACTTGATGATCTTAAGGGTATTTTCCATCCTAAATGAGTCTGTGATTCTATGATAGCTTGCGAAGCTGTTTTATGGTCCTCTAACTACTTACAAAGACAAACTCTTCTGTGCCTGCTTGTTTTCTCTCTCTTACAGAAACAGGAGGTGTGTGGAAACCTGACATTACAACATCACATGCTTGAACCAGTGCAAAGAATTCCTCGTTATGAGCTTCTCCTAAAGGACTATTTAAAGAAACTTCCAGAAGAGTCTCCAGATAGGAAAGATGCTGAAAGTACATGTAAACTCCTCTCCGTCTAATAAGCACAATTAAAACCTTGGAATTTTTTCTTCACATGTTCAGATACTTTCAACTAGGGCTATGGTTGAAATGGAGATTAGAACGAATAATTTATTGCCAAACATAGCACAAAGGGATTTTGAATGCTCTTAGAGAATAAAAAGGGTTAATATGTTAGCTCTAGGAATGAAGGGAGCTTTGTCAAATAAACAATGACAAAATACTGAAGTTTGTGATGGTAGAGTATCTCTCATTTTTATTTAATTCATTGTATGGCCAAGGACAAATACAGAAGGACTTCTCAGCAATAACCAAAGGAAGAAAATAATAATGACCTCAAATGTATATGCTTGCCAGGAAAGCAGGTTAGACTCTGTTGAGAAATGGACTTGTGTTGGTTTCTTGGAGTCTGTGATCTCAGCCAAAACAGGGTTCATGTTACTTCATGTTACAGCACAGAAGTCCTGTTTTGAGAAAACACTTTTAAAAACATGTTCATGAAGACCTAAGTGAGACTTAAGTTAACTTTTAGTAGGTTGATTCCCAGAAGGTGTTTGGGATTTTTGCCGCTGTGTGCTTTGGCTTGCCTTGACTTCTAGGAGAGAAAGATTAAACATTTAGATGCACATGAGCCAGACGAACACACAGAAGTGATTGTGTACATAAAGTGTTCTTTTTACTTCATGAAAGGAAAAAATACACAGTCCTTAACTTTGCAACAGGAATTTTGCAGGAAAATTGCTAATCAGGGAGGTGAAATAAAACCCCAAGTTGTTGTTAACAGACATATTTTGGAGAGTGCTTAACTGTTGCTACCTTTATTGCAGAGTCACTAGAGCTCATATCTACAGCAGCAAACCATTCGAATGCAGCCATCCGAAAGATGGTGAGTAGGAATTGCATAATGGAATTGTAATCTGACTGGAATAGGTGTTTGAACCAATGGTCCCCCATTGCAACGGGCTCAGTAAAGCAGGCTGGGGGAGAATTTTCCAGTACAGTGAGTAAGGCTTTGAACATCAGTTGGATATCTGAGTTCTCTTCATCATAAATGATCCTGTTTCATTTACCATGGGTTGTTGGGCTGCTTTCCTTGTCCCTAATGACCCAGTGGGCTGAAAAAGGAGGTCTTTATGAAACTCATTATTTGCTTCTAATTTAAATACATTGACAGTATTCCAATTGGATCCATTCAGAAGGTGTCCTTGCAGATTTTCACTGGCTTTTTGGTCCCACAGTAATTCACCAGGCTGGAGGTTGTTTTAGTTTGAGTTTGGCTCATCCTAATGCACTTAGTATGTGCCAATAGCTTTGGTAAGCTCTAGTTCTAAAGCTGGGCAGTCTGAGACAGTGGGGATTCTGAATGTTGGCTTTATGTGCTTTACATCCAGAACAGCAAGTGCATTACTTTTTAAGTAAACAGACTTTATAGTTACAGATATTACCCCTTTTGTGTACCAGGGTGCCTCGGGAGCTTTTGTATCTAATTGATCTGAAATGCTACATGTCCTGCTTTTGTGGGTCTAAGTTTTATGTCCCCTTCCTTATGAGACACTTACTTCCTTCCCCTGGCTGGTGGGGACACCTGGAGACATTTCCTGTGGCTGCTATAGGGAAGTAACCATCTGATGTCTGTGTTTTCAGTATGTGGCAGTTAAAACCAGTTTTGAAAACATCTGTGTCTATGTGAGTCTAGTGTGTACTCTGGATAAGGATATATTTTGGTGGAACTTTTTCTGGTTTGAGGCACTGGACAACTACTTTGCTGTGGACAGTGTACAGTATCTCCACAGACAGGATGAATATGAAGCCACCAGCTAGTTGCTTTCTGTGTTGGATTTTTTTTTCTGTTAGTACACAAAAACCTATTGGAAAAGACTACTACAATAATTTTAAGCCTCTAATCAGGGCTTCTAATTGCATTGAATTTTTCTGTAATTCAGGTGTTACCTGAGCAGAGACTCAAAGGAAAAATACCTGAGTAAGAATTTCAGGTTTGACTTCACAGAACTGCTCTTGGTGTTCTAGCTCCCCCTTGAAAAAAATAGCTCGATAAATTCACTGGTTTTTCTTTGTCTTTAAATTAGTGGGATCTCTTCCTCATCCTCCCATCCGGTGCAAAACATCTACTTTTTGACTTAGGTTATTTCCTTACTTGCTTTTAGTCCAGAGCCCCCCACCATCCATTGTGTTTTGCAGTGAGTTTATTTTAATGGTTAGGTTTTGTTTGGGGTTTTTTGGTGGGGTTCTTTTGTTGTTCATTTTTTTTTAATCATTGATCAGAATAACTGATTAGGACAGGAACTGGTGTGATGTATATTTGTAGTGAAAATTCTCAAGTCAAATGGGGTTAAATAGAGTGTGTAAAGACCTGAAATTCCAGCTTAATGTATAGATGGGTAGAGGTATGATTTAGAGACAGGGTTGGGCATATATTTGGGTGTAACTGCATGGATCTCTGTCCTCACATTCTGAACAATTGCTTGCAGTGCCATTTGTAGCACATCACTCCAGCTTGTGGTTAAAAGCCAAACTTTTCCAAAACTCAGTAGCAAGATTAATACACCTTTCTTATTTTGACTTGTGAAAGCTCCTTTGACTTTAATATTTGGATGACTTAATATAAGTGGAAACAGTGCTTTGCTGAAAAGGAAAAAGTAATCCCTTCATTAAAGAATTTTGATGAAGACATAAAGATGCCTGAATGACATTAAAACTATATTTTAAGCATTTTGTCCTGACCTATTTCAGAGGTACATTTCTGCCAGGGAGGCCCCTGTGTAGGACTGCAGCATACCCCATATAGCTGTGGTTTTAGACTCAGCTTAGAAATGCAGAATATGACCATGCTTCCTGATGGAGACCTAACTGCCATTATATCAGCAACAGTACAACAGGTGAAACTTCACTTTGTACTTTCAGGAAAAGATGCACAAGCTTTTGGAAGTCTATGAGCGACTTGGTGGTGAAGAAGATATTGTTAACCCAGCCAATGAGCTCATTAAAGAAGGACACATTCAGAAACTCTCTGCAAAGAATGGCACAGCCCAGGATAGGTATTTATTCCTGGTAAGTTTTTCTTCTTGCTCTCTTATTTTCAGAGTTGTGCTCTGAAATGTTACATTTCCATCTTCCTATTCTCAAATACAAAAAGCATTCACCAACTAAGCCCAGCTACTCCTTCCTCTGAGCAGCAGTTTTCTGGATGCTCTTTCCTTGAGGATTTCCTTCCTTCTTCCATGCTTGTGCCTTTGCTGATGGCTTGCCAGCCCTGAAGGGGTTTTTCCCACCTCCCTCCTCAGAGGCTGCTGCCTGAGGACCACCTTGCCATGTAAGGTAACCAGCTCTTGCTCACACTCACAGAATTGCTCTCATTTGCCTTCAAAGCAGCCAAACTGGTACCAGAGAGAGGGGAGAAGGGGAAAGCGACTGGCTGACCTTTCTGTCTGTCCACTTCTTTCAAGTAATGATCTGTGAACCTACCTTACTCCTTAAATCTCTTCTTGAGAACTGCAAAGTAAAACACACCACTCCTGAACAGCCAGCATGCATGAAATCCCTTCATTTAAAATCTTCCCTTATTACAGTTTAACAGCATGGTGCTATACTGTGTGCCAAAACTGAGGCTGATAGGCCAGAAGTTCAGTGTTCGGGAGAAGATGGACATTGCAGGACTGCAGGTTTGCACCTCTTTTTTCCGATGTTTTAATGCTTCCATACTCAGTAGCATCAGATTCCCTCTCAATCCAAAATATAACACATATGTAAACAGAAATATAATAAAATTCTAAAATCTGGCTTTGAATCTCTTGGGGGGGATTATTATGAGGTAGTTATCCAAAGGTGGGTTAGAAAAGGGTGACTGTCCATGCTTTGTTTGGAAGCCTTCCCTTGTCACCTAGCTGATACAGGAGCCACCTTTTCCCTTACAGCTGTAGGGGATGGGTTGTGGAAACAGATTCACAAGTTTTGTAGCAAGACAAGTAAGTAATTATGGAAACAATCCTTGTTTTTTCTACCTATGTACTGTATTCTGAGTGATCCTTTCTGCCAGGTATTTCACAGAGTGACTACATTTGTAAGCTGATTGAAAGCAATGGAGACTAAGAAGAAGCTGACGTGTTCTTTTTACAGGTCCAAGAAATAGTGAAGCAAAACGTGGCTCATACATTTTCGATAACAGGAAAAAAGAGATTGTTGGAACTACAGGCAAGGTATGGTGCTTGTTCTGTCTTTCAGGGTTTGTTAATATTTATGTAGGAATTTACCATCTAGGGGATATGGCTGTGCTAGTATGGCATAGCTTTAAACCAGGAGATGAGCACCAGAGATGCATAACTTGCATATGCAAGGGAATATGTTGGTGTTAAATTCCTATGTTGGTTTGCTTCATTGAATGCTACCAGTGTTTTTAGTAGTGCTTGTAGGTTCCATTGTATTAGTAATTCAAACTTTTTGGCATTTTTTTGGTGATAGTTGAGGTCAATAATTATTGATATTGTTTATAAAATAGTGGATAGCAAAGATAAAATCTTGATGGATATAAAGCTGTGAATTGAATTTACTGAAAATATTGGAAGTAGAATTATGACGTTTTCTGTATTTTTCTTTTGTCTTAACAGGACAGAAGAGGAGAAGAGAGAATGGATTCAGGTTAATACAAAACCATAAAGAAACGGGTGGAAATCACCATGCAATCAGCACCTGCTGTTTTTAAAATGATCTTTTTCGGGTTCTGCATGAAAGCAGCAGTGCAAGGAAGCTGGTGTCTAGTCTGGCGAAGCTGCTTATGTAGAAATGTGGACCCAGGCATGCTCCCACTGCTGACCCACTGTCTCCAGGCAGTGTAGGGGGCTTCAAATGGCTTCCCATTTCCTGCCATCCTCAAGCCCAGTGAGAGAATAGACTGAGACAGCTTAGCCTTGTATATTCTTACAATCTGACTTACAGAGAATACTGTCTCATAGCTCTCTTAGTTTTGAACTTGAACAGTAGTGAGTTAACAGCACCACTCATAGTTATTAAGGTTTTGAAGTTTCCATTTAATGTATGCAAGCGTAAGGGTTTTTTACTAAAATGATATCCCTAACCACCTTCCTGCAAGAGAATTTTTCCAAGGCTCCTTTTGTGACACTTCTCATCTTTGCTGGAATTTTTGTTTCAGGTCATTCAAGCAACAATTGAAAAGCACAAACAGAACAGTGAGACATTTAGAGCTTTCAATAGCTCTTTTTCTCAAGAGGAGGAGCATCTTCCTGATTCCTCAGTAAGTACAAGTGCTTAATTCTCCATTGCTATCACAGTTTTACCAACAGTTAAAGTAGACTTACATAGTTAATTTTAAAATAATTTAGTCTTGTTCTTGATTTTTATATTGCATTACAGTACAGCTCCATTTCTCTGGTTCACAAATGCATATCAGCCATAGTTACGTAGCCTTGCAGGTATTGAATAAATTACCCAGGGTAATTCAGTGCAAGAGACCTATCGGTCATGTTTTCCAGACTAGTGGCTCGTTTAGCGTGACAACTGTTATGAGTAGTTGGCTGTCTGGAAGAATGTTTGTGTGCCTGAGAGATTTTGTTCATTACTTTTCCCCATTTCCTCAAAGATGCATTTTCTTATTATTATTTAAAGAGTTGAAAGTAAATTGATGCTTTTTAAAAGGATCTTAAAATCATAGAATCATAGCATGATCAGAGTTGGAAGGGACCTTAAAGATCATCTAAGTTCCTGTCTTATAGAATATAAATATATTTCAGGAAGGATACTCTTCAACTAAATATGCAGAATAGTCTTAGAAGTTTATTCTGTTTCTCTACATCTGCAGTGTATTACGCTGTGCTGTGAGTTGGTGATGATGTCGGTGGTCAAACGTGGTAGATCTTGGAGTGCAGGGAGAGAAGGACCATCTGCAGAGTTAAACTTGGGGATCATTTTATCTTCCCATTGCTGATAGCAGCCAGCAATGAGCCTTTTTCAGAATATGGCTTAGCTTACTGATCATCAACTACTCATCAGATAAAAATAACAGGGGAAAAGATGGAAAATAATGAATTCATGCCTCTACTTTTAACTTAGGGTTGCCTTCAGAACCAGGATGCGCTGATCAAAATATCCCCCCTTGCTAATAAGCAAACTAATAAGCACACTGCTTTCTATCCAGTTAAGACATGGAATCTGTTCAATGTCATTATTATCTTGCTTTGTAAATTCCGTTTTATTTTGCTTCTGCGTAAATGGTATAGACACATGTTTATGCTCTACTGGTTCATGAAGGTCAAGTAGAGCACAAGTCTGGTTTATTTCCTGGCTATTAATGCAGAATACACCTTAATTTCTTTTCTGCCAGAATGTTGCATTTTTAGGACATTAGTTTATCTGGGTAATCAGCTTTGAAAACTGATGCCATGGGTAAATGTATCAGAATTGCTGTCACTTAAACAGAGCTGAAGGTAGTTCTGTAATGAAAACTGGACAAATACTGAAAGTGTTCTTGGTAGCAATATGCTGCTGTGGGCAGCATCCACCAGAGATATTCCGTCATCTTTATGGAATATTGGGCAGTGTGCTTTAGACGAAAAATGACAGTGATATTCCCTTTTTTGCTCTCATGACTCAAGAAACAGATATGCACTCAGGGATTACAGGCTGGATCTGTAACAGCTACTAGAAATTGGACTCTGGTTCTAATAAGCCCGTAATAAAATAGCCAGATTGCTCTTCTCCCATCCCTGGCTGTACATTTGATACATTACGTTGCTTATAAGTTATTTCAGCTGCATGACCAGTGCATGCCTTTGCATGCGATTCTTAGCATGCTTTTGTTTTCCCAGCTGATTTACATAAGGTCATCCAAGCATTAAGAGTTCACCTTCAGCCTGTAATTTGCCTCCAGAAGACATGCGGTTTCTTGGGGGTGCATGGATCAGACATTTGAGTCTTAAGATTATGCCTCTGCAATAATCCACATCAGTTAGTAACCTCCCACCCGTGAGGAGGTGAATATTTGGTGTCATTGCCAGGCGGCACTGTCGGGGTGACTGTCCTGTGGCCTTTTATTTAAAGAAGTCCTGTCAGGAATCTTCAGGGTCCCTTTGTCACTTAGTTGCTTCGGAAAGAGGACATTCACTTCCCCGTTTTCCATTTTCATCTGTAGCATTTCAAGGCTATGTGAAGGGGTTTTTTAAATCCATCTACAAATGTTCTCGAGGAAAAGGACCTCTTTTACCGCTGCTTGATATTAGAAGATTTGGAGGTTCGTGTGGGGGAAGGACCCAGTTTGTGCATTTGTAGAAAGCTGGCAAGGAAAAGTGCCACAGAGAGCTGAGCTCTGTGGAGGTGGCATCTCAAAGATTTGGGACTTAGGTGTGCTTCTATTAGTTAAATCATGACTTTTAGATCCTGTTAAATTATCATGATTTTCCAGCCTTGTTTCTGTTCCTCCCCTTAGGTCTGGGGTAGTTCTGAGAAACCCTTTTGAAATCTCTTCCAGGTTAAGAGTAGAGGGTATCTGATTTTTGGCACATTATTCCAAATAAATATTAAAAGGACATAAGGATCTGAATGGGCAACTAGAAATATTTACCCTTTCCCCTAAACTTGCTGGGAGTTTTTTTGATCTCTCTTTCAGACCCCATTTTCTTTCCTCTTTTTTTATTCCCTCCCAAAGTCCAGTGTCACAGCACACACATGTCCTTTTACTAGGCAGAGGGGTCTAAATACCTGGATTGATTAGGATTCCTGTGGAAAGAAGCCCTTTTCCCCAGGACTGGGGAATAGGTAATGTGAAGCTGCTTATGGGTTGCTGGTTTTGTGTGGAGGCAGAAGTAATTGGCTAGAGTTGAGTACATGATGCTTCCTTTAATTAAGTTGCATTCCCTGAGGAAGTGCTCCAGGGGTGGCACAGCCCTAGTCTCAGGGGATGCATTTGCTTGTTCTCCAGATTCAATTGATTGTATTGGTATACGAATAGATAAATTAGGTGCTGGAATGAGTAGCTCTTCAATTTGGCCACTAACTCAAAGCTACAGTTCAGATTGTTTCTAATAACAGACTAAACCCTTTTGCTTTCAAATGGAATGAAGTGCAGAAATGCACTGGAGATTTGGATAACCTTGAAATAGGAGATGTTGTCTGATTGGCAAAGGAAAATTTATCGTAAAGAGTCTAATATTTTGAGACCACCTGTAAACTAGAAAACTCTTTGTAAATTAATGACACATAAGATGGTTTTCCTTTTAGGATGTAGGCTATGGTTTCGATGTACATAAGCTTGTTATTTGCCCTTTATACGTATTGAATACATATATATGCCAGTTTGCTTTTATTAAGAGACTAAGACATGTATTGCATTTAAGAAAAGCTTAACTGAGTACTATTTGAATGGAGTAAATACTCTTCCTCCTCAGAATGCACTGACTACATAAAACACCTGCTCCTTTGGCTTGCAGGGCTGACATGGAATTCAGAATATGGCTGTTTGTGATCTGTGGTGCTCATGCGGAATAGGCACAGGCTGCAGGGAAGAGCAGGCTTGGCAGTCCAGTGTCCTCTGCAAAGTCTCCCATTTCATAGTCAACCCAGCACTGAAGGGTGGCTATGAACATGTGCAATTAAAGTATACTCACAAGCAAATGGTTCAGGGGCTAAAAGCATATGATGCTGTGTTTTCTTTTTCAGCGTTTAATATCTGTTAGGAGGAATGTCCATGTTGAAATTGTTCTGTGTCATTCTGTTTCCCTCAGATAGCAAGCACCAGCTCGGTGGAATCGATGCCAGGAGCAGATGGTGGTGGTGCGTTCGGAGGGGTCAGTAATCTGAAGCTAAATGCTTTGGGTAGAGTAGGGCGGGCGGGCGGTTCTTTTTCTTTTGTAGCAGGAAAAAACCCCAGAGCTACCTCCGTGTACTGGTGTGTATTCTGCTGTCTGTTGCTGCAGCTGTGCTGTCCTTAACATCTTGGCTACGTTACACCCACAGCTACTTGCACAGTTTGCAGCAATAGTGTATTGAAATCCCCTTGGTGCAGATTAATGCTGCACATGTGTGTGAACCTAGCTATGGGGTACCTAGCCCGAGGAAAGCTGGCACTTTTGTAGTGTTGGGGGGTTTCTGTTGTGGTTTTTGTTTGTTTGTTTTTAAATTCTGATATGGAACTACAGTGAATGCTGGGGGGAGGGTGGGCAAGGAGAGGCGAGGAAACCTGTCTGCTTAATACTGTCGTATTGTGTAACTTGGGATCTCATCTCCAGAACTGGATTTTGATTAACACTTCTTTCATAGTGTGCTTTTCATGTTTCTGCCAATACAGAGGAGGAGATTATAGTACTTTCATACACCTCTGGCCTGTAAGTGATTGCCTGCTGCAAAAGCAAAATATGCTTTTAAAGGTATTCTTTCATTTTGTTATGTACAACACCTGTGACTGCTGCTGAGTCAAGCCAGAGGTTTTGAGTCCTTGATAAGATCTATCTTTTAGTGTTCTTATCTCTCCCTTCTAAAACGTATTCTGAGAATAACAGATTTTCAGGAAATGCATTAGGGTCAGATGAGTTTACTGAAAAAAAAAAAACCGAAAGAAGAAACAACAACCCAAAAACCCCTTATCTGTGGAGACATACTACAGATTATATAGTATTAGCATGACATTTTTAGTAACAAAGGAGCCACTCAGCAGACTCCTCCAGACCTCTGGCTTACTAAAAATAAGTGTGTGTAATCAGTGTGCTCCTTGCTCTCTATTGTTTGTTCACACATCATCTTTGCCCTAAGCAATTTTTAATTTATTTGTAGTCAGTTGTGTGATTAGTGCCCCTGTTCATGGAGTTACAGATGCCCAAGTGAGCTAGCTACTTATTGAGAAAGATGGCTTATAGAATACTTAAAAACAAATGGAAAAATCCTTGTTGGTCTTAAGTTTCTTAGGGAAATGTTAATTCCAGTTGTAATTAAATTTTAAAAAACAGGTCTTTGTAGTTGGTTATTATAAGCAGTTGTCAGTGATTTGTACAGTGTATCTGATACAGGAAGTGATTTTCCATAAGCTGTGTATTTAGGAAAAAAGATAATTCCTGAGACAGAACTAAGAATGGAGTTCATCAAAATACACACATCTGAAAATGTCCTAAATTGTGTAATATTGTTTCTGGGATCTCATCCTGCAGTATTGTAGCAAATGTATAACATAAGCATGAACAATGAATTCAGATGTTACTTGCAGCTTTAGAAACTATTAACTTTTAATAATGACATCCCTTTAGAAACATCTCAGTGAGGGCATGAGAACGATTACATTCTGTGCTCGACAACTTCCACATGCAAACCACTTGGTGGTGGTGGTGGTCAGCAAAGTAGCATCTCCTTCCTGTGGTTCTGCTGAGTCTGCTGAAGAGCCTGCCGGGGTTTCATCAGTGTTGCAGGCTAGCACAACCAGGCAGTGGAAACCTGCTGCAGGAGGTATAGTCTGCTTGCTCTACAGCATTGTGGCCCCTGTTTGCTGCACTGCACTGCTAGAACAACTTTTGCTCAGCCTTCTGCCTGCATGAGGAAGGTAGAAGCCAGGGGAAGATCGTCTTGCATGTAACCTTGCATATGTGACATTGGCAAATAGAGAAACAAGCTAAACAATTTTGCTGCATTACAAAGTACAAAATAGACTATATAACTTAATTTCTCACATATGATCAGCATTTCAGCTGAAGCCTATAGAGGGTGGAAGCAAGGGCAAATAGCCTGGAAGGAATACAGAGAAACTGTCGGGGAGCAGAGATTAGGTTAGGAAAGTTAAAGCCCTGATAGAATGAAATCTGGCCAGGGACATCAAGGGCAACAAGAAAAGCCTCTATAGGTACGTTAGTGACAAAAGGAAGACAAGGGAAAATGTGGGCCCTTTCTGGAAGGAAATGGAAGACCCGGAACATGGAGAAGGCTGAGGTGCTCAATTTGCCTCAGTCTTCACCAGCAAGAGCTCGAGCCACATCAAGCAAGTTGTAGAAGGCAAAGGCAGGGACTGGTAGAATAAAAAACTGTCCACTGTAGAAGAAGACTAGAGAGAACATCTAAGGAACCTGAAGGTGCACAACTCCATGGGATCTGGTTAGATGCAGTGCCCTCCAAACCCACAGATGTATTTGCCAAGCCATTTTCCGTCATGTTTG